TCCTGCAGCAACACTTTGTGAAGTGAATATTAAATAATGGGACCATGCTGCACAGGCTATTCAGGGTTGATTGTGCCGCCCCAACATCGTCGAAAAGCAAGACGATATCGTCCGCATAATCGAGATCAACTAACCTTTCACTAGGCAGCACTTCAACGCCTACATCATGAGATTCCGCAAGGGAACACTCCATGGTAGAATCCACGACGAAATTGAACAGAAACGGGGAAATCGGTCAACCCTGTCGAACGCCACTTGTAGTCGAAAAGCTATCCGATAGGGCACCATAGACCCTGACGCGGCCTCTAGTGTTCGAGTATAGAGCACGAAGGATGTTCACATATTTCGTGGGAACACCCTCCCGCGCAAGTATTTCGAACAGAATCGATCGATCGACTGAATCGAACGCACTCTTGAAATCGTGGAACATAACTATTGTCGATCTGCCGTATGCGTGGCGCTGCTCTAGCACCTGCCGCAAAGTGAATATATCGTCTATACAGCCACGTCCTGGGCAGAAACTGGCCTGCTCTTCCCTAATCCGAGCTTCCCGTTCTGCAGTGAGGCGACGAACGATAATTGAGGCCAGTAATTCTGTCACAAGTGGCATTAGGCTAATACCCCTGTGGTTAGAACAGTCTGTGGGACTGCCCTTCTTGTATATTGCCACTATAATCGATTCGCTCCAAGTAGGCAGGACACTTCCAGACACATTCGAATAAGGAGGTCAGTGCTTTGCAGAGGACCTCACCACCATCCTTAAATAATGCAGGTGGGAGGGAATCCTGGTCAGCGGCACGAAAACAATTAAGGGCTGTAACCGCGTTTCGGACCTCGGCCTCCGACGGAGGCTCTAAACTAATCATCCATGGCTCGTCCTGCATCACCTGAGTAGGAAGAGGTCAGGGAGCGGGGGGCCAGCTGAACTGATCTTGAAAGTGTTCCGCTCAACGAGCCACATGGCGCTCCTTATTGTGTATCAACGCAGCCGCGCTGTCTCTGATTGTCTCACTGACGCCTGGTTTTCTGGGACTAGTGGTGCGGATTAGCTGGAAGAGCTTATGGTAATTGCATAGTGCTCCTGCCTCATCCATTTCTTGAGCCCTACTGGGCCACCAGGCTTACTTGTCAGCACGTAGGCTTCGCTTTAGTTCAAGCCTAATAGCCCGTCTGGTCACATTGTGTTCAGAGCCAGCCGGGAGGTGTCTTCTAGATTCCAACAGGTTCACCGACCTCTCGGATATCCAGTGACTGATGCGGTGACGATGGATAGTGCCACAAGCAGATGCTCCTGCGTTGTGCACGGCGGCCGAGATCCCATTCCACTGAAGCTCATTGTCATTAGGATAAGACAGCGGAAGTTCGGTATACAGTGATTCTTGATAGTCTTGCCTGACCGAGGACTGAGACAATTTCTCCGTTGCCAATCGTAGGGGACGCTTGGTGCGCCTCCCGGTAAAGTTCATGGAGAAACGACAGCGTACCAAGACATGATCAGAGTCGACACAGGTAATCCAGTATGAGCAGCAATCCAGGATGCGACCACGCCACCTGTAACTTACGGCTATGTGGTCAATTTGGGTCCATCGCTGGCCAGCTACAGGATGCCAAGTAGCACCTCGGCGCCTACTGTGTCTAAGAGCAGTGCTACTAAGAAACAACTCGTGCTCCGCACACAGTTGCAGCAGACGCTCACCGTTGTCAGTCCGTTCGGAGTTAAGCCCACAATTACCACCCAGCTGGGCTTCTGAAGAGCACAAACGTCCTACTTGTGCGTTCATATCCCCTGCAAGTACTATAATATCTGAACTAGTAGCACTGCGTAGTAGCGCGTTCAGTACGTGATAGAATGTGTCCTTGACTGCATTAGAACTGCAGTCGGTGGGAGCATAAGCGGAAATCACAAACAGCGTTTTTTACTACTTTGTGAATTAACGTTGGCTGATGTCGTCAAACGGACTGCACACAAACGTCCGTTCACCGGAATCCAATCAACCAACGATGGCTCAGCCTTGGAGTATAGAATGATGCCCACACCAGCTTGACCCGTGAGTACTGTATCGGCGTCTCCGGATGCATGCAACCAATAGCGAGATGATAAGCCGGGTGCAGTTAATTCAATAACCCTGTTGGGGTCCTTGATCCTAGTTTCAAACACACGACACACATCAATGCCCAGTGTGTTCAAGGTGCGTGCGAGTGTAGCCTGTTGACCTGTTTGCCTTGGGGTGCGAACGTTGAATGTCGCCATGGAAACGGGATATCCTGGCCTTATAAGGGACTTTTGCCGATAGGTGCTGTGGGATGGTTGCTGCAGATGGTACTACTCCAGTAACACTTCGGTTGCTGTCAATTAAGCTGGGAATTATAGAAGGAAGGTTAGTAATAGGGGCCGGAATGGGAGTAAGAGAAAAAGGTGGAAAAGAAAGGCGTCAGCAGTAGCATGTTCTCGCTTATCCGCCCTGCTGTATGCAGCAGATAAGGCAACCCTTGATAGTCTGCGCGACGGTCGATGCAGGATGAAGTTTATGTTTGAAGAAGTGGTCATGGTTGTATGTGGGCTGGGATACTGCCAGGGCGCCCAGACCTAGACAGGTGGACGATTAGGGTCCTCATCCAAAGCCTTTGGCTCAAAAGCCTGTCCGCAAGGCAGCGGAAAGGTGGCAATGATTTAGTTTTACAGAAATGGACGCCATCCCATTTCAAACCCCCAACCTGGAGGACCAGGAGACTGAGTTTGTCTGACCTCTCACCATTGACCAACATGGTAGGAGTATCTTTCAAGGTGCCCTGAGGCATCACCCAGTATAGCCCAATGGGTCAATGAGGTACGCAAACCGTCGCACCACGGTAAGGTCCAGTCTCGTTGCGACGGATCGAGGTCGCTCACCGTGCACCAAAAGTTCAAGTCGTCGGCGAACATGATGGTAGGCAGCCCCAGCACTTCTGGCAGTTCATTTACGTACTAACAAATAGCAGTGGATCGAGAACTGATACCTGCGGGATACCGCTCAGAACTACCTGTCGGAAAGACTGGAGCTCACCCGAACTCACATCTCTCGCCCTTCGAGAAATGCGGATAGCCATCGAAGCGCGTGCCGAGAAACTCCATAGGAACGGAGCTTAAGGGAAAGACGAGTATGAGGGACAGATTCAAACGCTTTGGAGAAGTCAATGAATAGCATATCCACTGACTGACCCTGATGGACAGACATCGCCAAACTTTCCCGAGCAACCATCAAGTTGGTCAGGCAGGAGTACCCCTTGCGAAAACCATGTTGAGACGGGCTGAGAAGGCCAAACATCCTTAAAGGGTTTTTGATGGCCACCCCCACTAGCTTTTCTGGCAACTTAACCAGCACACAGGTTAGACTGACAAGCTTGTAGTTTACAGGGAGATACTTAGCTCCCTTTTTAAAGATGGGGCAAACTACAGCTTCCTTCCAGTCGGTGGGTAAGGTGAGACTTCTCGAGCAGGCAAGCTACGGGCCCACAAATTTCATCTGCTAGTTCATATAACAATTGTGGATGACTGGTATCAATAACGGCGGCTTTCGTAGGGTTCAGTTCTCGCAGCAGTGAATGCACCTGGGCCTCTGACACGGTGATATCGGTCAAAAGTATCTGCCGGGACTTTCCCATAAATCGATAGTTGGTAAAGGAGTCTCGACGGTAGACGTTTTCGCATACTCCTAGCCGAAAAAGCATGCCTTATTCCGGGTGGTATGTGCAGTAAACCCATCAGGTTCGTGCAACACCAGGATGGGTGGATCCACAAGGCATCGTCTTCTGACGGAAGCGGGAAGTCGCTGCCGATTGTTTCAAGCTGTTTGCTAGCTCCAGTTCGTAACGAAGCTTACACTTGTTCCGTGCCTCTCGATAACACGACAAGGCATCATCTAACAGAGTCGAAAGGTAACTCCGCCAAATGGCCCGCCTGTTTAGCAGTTGGCGTGTGTTTAGATCGAACCAGGGTGACTTGAAGTTTGCTTTACTTTTAACTAAAAGCGGAATGTGTAAAAAAGACACCTCGGAGAGGAATGTCTTGAATTTCTCCCATGCCGTCTGCATATCATCTGCGGCCAAGATGGTGCAGGGTGACAAGGCAGCTCTGGATCGCATTGCCTGAAAATCAGCACGACAAATGTTCGAGCGTCTAATCACGCATTTATCTTGGACTCTATTGACAGCGCACTCGAAGGAAATGCAAAGGTGGTCACTAGCTCCAAGCGGCTGACCGTAAACGATGTTACTTACGAAATAAAATGATTTTGAGAAGATAAGATCAAGCATAGACGGACCGTCCCTCCAAATCCCTTGTTGGCTGATTTACAAACTGATGTAAGGGGTTTGGAGCATCAGTTCCACGAGCTCTGCACCCAAGCCTGTAGTCTCCGTCTCGCAAGAGTTTGCGCCAATCAATCACTGGAAAGTCCCCCACCACCAAGCATCGGTTTGTAGAGTGAGCGCAAATAAAATCAGTGTAACTCGTAGAAACACTATCAGGACTTCTAAAAACTAACACAATTTTAAACTGCGAAGACAAGAAACGCACTTTAAACGAAAGGACTTCTATGGTCTTACCCGATAAGTGGAATTTAAATGTCTTGGAGACACACCACGACGGTCGCATGGACCATCCGACCACAGTAGTGCGTAGCCAGGTAGGAATATTTCACCGTCCATGACTTCCGCGGACAGCCACGTTAAAGTGAAAGCGAGGACATTTGGGTGACAGTGGTCCACAAGAGCGCCAAGTTTGCACAACTTGTTACGCAGGCTCTGGCATGACGGAAGTGGACGGCCAGCGCACCACCCGAAAGCCCCCCATGTACCATTTCACAACTGAATTTGTTACTACTGGTGGACGCCGGATAAAGAAGGTGACGCGTAGACATGAAGAATAAATGAGAAGTCGACAAACTAAGCCGAATCAAGTGTAGATGCACAGAGGAATATGCCTGGTACATGTACGGCAAAAGAATACAAGAACAACTGACCTTAAGCTCTGCACGATCAATTTCCCAAACCGAACGCTCCGCTTCCATCCGGGCCCATTCCGTCTGCAAAAAATGAAGGACACTATGCAGAGTAGGTTGTGGTGCTTCATCTTTGTGGTCAGAATCTCTATGATCAGAGTTCTTATGATCGGAACCACTCCGTCTGGGCTCTTCCATGCGTAGCACAACTACGTTCTCCCCGAGGTCTGCATCAGAATCGCGCCCGGCCATTTGGCAGTGTAGTATGTGTCCGGTCGAAGATTCCGAGGGCTTTCGTGTACAGTGCGTAGGTAGCTCGTAATAGACCCGGGGAGCTGCAATGCAAAGCTAGATGCTCATATCATCACCACCTAGTAAGGGACCACACTAAAGAAAACGTGAAGTAAGAGGTGGACATATCAATGGTAGTCTAACCGAGGCATAACGATCTCACCTTAAGATTACCACAAGCATGGAAAGTCAAAATGACTGCGAGTAGTACATAACTGCAAATATGCAACGAAGTCATCATAAAACACGAAAAATTGCACTATGATTCAATTAATAAGTCACATCGCAATGCAAGCCTAAACACAGTAGAAATTCTCAAAATTTTTTACAGCTTACTTGTAATAAACCTACAGGAAATTAGGGTTTCAGTGTTAATACAGTAAGTACAAGTTCAAGTTGGACTGAAACGATGGGATCATCCCTATAAATTCTAAGAACTTTCAAAATTTTCTGAAACAATTTAGCGATATGACCTTCGGAATACTAGTGTCGTAAGCACGTTTGCGGAATTGATTAATGCCACAACAATCAATTGGCGGAAATGCTTCAACGATCAAAAAAGTTAGGAGTAAGTGCATGTTACTCTACCTAACTAAGCCAGGTGACGCGAATACAAACATCTGTCGCTCGATAATGTGCAGGCATTTAAATATACAGCGAGGAAAATGCTACGAGCGCAAAGCATGAGTTTAGGTCACGCGTCAAAAAGCTACTGCTAAAAAGCAACGAATGCAAATATAAAGCATCTCGAAAGAGCCATACGGTTAACCGCATTCACCTACTGTGCTTCTGTAATAGCGCAGAACTGTGGCTCTGAAATAATAGGATTAATTGCCGTTAATTTAAATCAGCAACTAGGCAACTTATGCAGGCAACCAGCACAAGATGAGTCAGTTCGTCTTGCATGTGATCTCCGCGGATGATTTAATAAGGCAGTGCCATATGCTTAGCCGGAATACTTCCGCCGGAGCCCGGGTAGCCATTCCAATATGTTGATATGTTTGTAGGCAAGCCGTTATTTTTACAGCAATAGGTTCCTTTTTCGCCTAGCTATAATAAACAATTCACTTGGCGCTGCTAACTAGGGGAACGCTATACACATAACACACAAGGTATGCTATGCTTCCTGTCGTCGGTTTCTATGAATTCGGTTCCGGGGCGTACTTGCGTCATGTTTGACCAAGGGGCTGAAAGGTATAGGAGGTACTTCTTTGCGGCTGGACAATCACCTGGAAAGCGTCGAATCTGGAAGAACCGTGTGCTTGTGCCACATCTCGTGGCTAACTGTGTGGTACTGTCACAGCTACCGATAGCGGACCGAGTGCGCCGTGACTAAATGAAAGGCACAAAAGCACGCACGATTAGTGGCTACTCCAACTACACCCAAGCAAGAAGAGGAAATGACGATCACGACACGAAGGTGTTTGTTGACTTGATACTGCGGCGGTCTGACGTGCTATGCAAGTGTTTGCACGTTGCACTGGAAACAAGCGCCAAGTGCAACGGCGGCGCTCAACTATAGTAATCGAACTTGGCATTCAGCGTAAAAATCCGCAACAGCTGCTCAGCTGTACAAAGGAATAATAAGTTTAGTGAATTTTACACTGGCGAACTGGGAGAACCTCACGTCGGCTACATATCCGACCCCAGAAGCAGTCCTTCGCTCAACGAGAGGATTGTACGTCGCGGCCAGCCTTCTGCGAAACCAGTTGCTTAACCTAATTAAGTTGCTTGAGGATAACCATGCCTTGGGACCTTAGCGGGTTCCCACCCGTGTTCTCTCCGGTGTCGAAACCATAAAAAATTTTGTGGGTGATCAGTCATTAAGGCCCATGTAGCTTGCCCAGCAGATGTTAACTGTGCTTCTAGTTGATGTGTAGGGATCCAGCGTAGGATTTAACCCAGGGAGCTACCTATTCACAATCTATATATTGGCAGCAAACTGAAAAAGAGTAAATCCTAGCAATACACAAAGGCATGCCAAGCAAAATGCACGCGAAGTTGCCTTCCGGGTTTCCAGCAACTGCTGATCTTTTTAATTTGCAAACAGGTTAGAATTTTCTGTAGGTTTTAGAAAAGGTTTCTAGGAGCATGAAATTATGCGGCACGTTCTACGTAACTTAGAAAACGCTGCAAATGTCTGTGAAACGCATATGAGGTCTGGGCACCTGGCCACGACAGTTGCTTTTAGCGTTGAGGTCGTTTTAAGCCGAAGGATCCGATGCAGCATAAGGGCCGATCAGACGTTGCAGTGTTTGCTGTGATGGCGCAAGTTCTCTGGGTATTTGTTCCACAGGACTTTCAGAAATAGTGCGCTGAAGCTTGTCTTTGTAGGAATCAGCTGGTTGAAAGGCAGCCATGGCGCGTAGGCAGATTTTGGCTCAAGGAGCTAGTTGGATCTGACGGATGCGGGGCCGTGAGTTCGCGACAGGATTTAGAGCATCTGAGACACTTACCACATCTGTGCTGAGCTCAGTGTCGTAAGCTAGATATTTGGGTGCTCGTATAGAGCACGCGTTACACAATTGACTGCATAGACCAATGGCTTGTGGTCGGTGAAAACGGTTAAGTGAAACAGGGATGGACATGTCGGATACCTAGGAATAATGCTGACAGTCCCCTACCAAAGGTGGTGCAAAGCGATTCGAAAGGCTGCAAACGTTACGTAAAGGAAACTACTGGTAGCAATGGATGGCCTATGTGTTGTTGGAGATATGTACCAACGGCTGTGTCTGATGCTTCAGTCGTCAGAGAAAGCGGCACAGCAGGGTCTGGATAAGCGGTTAACGTTACGTTAGACTTAACGTTTTGTGCTTCTCGAAAGTCGTTCTAGTGTCGTCTGGATACTGAAAAGGGCATTGTCTACCGCAGTGCTGATCGGCCATGCGTAGCATAATGCTCGCACAGTGTGGGATGAAACGTCGATGGTAAGTGAGCAGGTCAAATAATAGGCGGAGCTGGCCGGAGGTGCTTGGTATAGGATAGTCCATTAGTGCATGGATTTTGTCTGGTATCTCCTTGTTACCAGTGGAGGGCATTGCTTGTCCAAGGAAGTCGCTGGAGAGGGTAAACCTATGTTGTAGCAAAACTTGTAACAAAGCTTCCAGATGATGAGGTTGCAAAACAAATAAAAACACAAATATTTTATTCTCGACAACGCGAGGCACGCCATTTGGACAGGATCAGCACAGGGCAATACTGTACATGATAGCATAAGTAGCAGGACCATATGCGGGAGTATTACAGATGTAGCAAGTTGTGTGGGTCCACATGGCCCAGAGATTGGATTTATGGGCCGGCACGGAATGCCATCTAGAGCCTAGTATTACATCCTGCATGGGAATTGTGTTGGTGAGAAACTAGTCCGATGAGGTTGTGTACACAGTGTGGGTCAGTTGAGTGAAGTCAGACTGCAAAGCTTTGGAAATCTTTTAAGAATAGTGGCGTGTCACTGATCAGATAAGTAGGCGTAGTCGTACGAAATTAGATATATGCACAGGGTTTGTGAAATGTTGTATCGGTCAATTTGCCAATGCCTGTTTTGGGCAGCTTCTTTGTTGAGTGGCGAGTAACATCCGCCACGTCGCAGTGTTGTTAAACAGACATCTGTGGTTGTTGGCAGGGCAAACGCTTGCCAGGCAAAACCTCGCCAAGTCCTGGAACACTGCCGATGCTCATCGTCCGAAGAGGCAGCGATGATATTGTTACGTATGTGATGATAAAGTCCTTCAAAGCCTCTTCTTCCCTCAGGAATGGAACGCTGAAATATTTGAGCAGCCATGCTGAGACCAAGCGTCTTCTTTGGTACTGGGACAGGTCGAACGGTGTAATGTCTGCTGTTTTCGTACTTCCGTCTGGCGCCACCGACATCTGAAGGTAGGCACGAAGCAGGTCGATTTTCTATGGACCGGCTTACTAGATAAAGCTGAAGTCAAGTCTTGCAGGTGTAGAATTTTGCGATTATTTCGGTTGTTATTGTCGTAGAGTGTTCTGTTGACACCACAGTGGCGCCGGTCACTGGATTACTTCGGTAACATGTGTGCTGGTGAAGCCAATAGACATTTAGACGTGCAGATTATCCCAACATGGAGAATGCGCTCAAATGCCGCCTTAGTCGCTATATTTGTCCAGGGCTAGTCCCCAAAGAGTGGCTGGGAATTCCGGATGATTATTGAAGAGGTGATGCATGAAGTTTGAGGTAACGGGAGTTTAGAGGTTCTGAAAAGATTTAACCAGGTCTATAGCTTAATTTATCGTGTATTTGATTAAGGAAAATGGATGTAGAAAGTAAGCTATCAGAATGATCCCAGAAGTACTTTCAGGTACCTTTGAGTGGGAATGAAACGTATATAACATTATAATGAATTGAAGAACTTAAAATTTGCGTAGTTTACTGGCAAATACAAAATATTAAAATTACGTTTCCTACCTTCTGGTAGCCTTTGGGTCAAGTGAGTTTGCCTTCCAAGGACAAGACGGTCCAAGGCATCCGCCTAAGGACCGTCTTATTTCTTACACCTGCAAGCGAACCAGGGCCCCCGGTACTTTGGTCAACTCATGGCCGCTCATTAGTCTCTCCTTATCAGATGTGACGTGTTCCCTTACTCGCTACACCGCCTTCGACAACTGTATTTAAGTATTCCAACTCTCTCTCAGGATTTCCCTGGCTCAGTTCAAAATAATCCTATTCGCTTACCACCCTAGCATGATTTGAATATATGTGCACCGCTGTGCTTTAACCTTATATGCTCTGACATCTTCAAGCGACTTAATGTGTGCCTGCATTCCGTATGTCCGATGTCCTTTCATCAGTTAACCTTCCTTAATGGTCTTCTTGTGAGCTTTCCGGATAGGTAGTTGACTTATCTGAATTGTCGGCTGACTGTGACGAACAAAAGTACTCACAAAAATCCTTCTACTCACAAGTAACTCCATTTGTTAGTGCGCAGTCGTTCGTTATTCTCTTCTTCCCAAATGTTCAGTTATCCATTAATCGTTACAACATCTTCGACTGTTACTCTTGCAGGAGTACAGCTCTCTTTGGCT